GTTCATCATCGCCTCCAAGGTACGGCCCTCAGACCCGGCCTGACTCCCAACCCTGTGTGTGTTGGGGTGCGGGGGGGGGTGGTGGATGCTTTGCCACTGCCCTGGACTCTGGACCCTCCCAGCTGCTCTGAATGAGCCATGCTTTGTGGATCAGGTGGGCACAGCTGCCCTCAGACTCTTCCTTATCTGGTGGCAAAAACAGTTTACCTGATGAAAGCCTGAACTGGTCCGTATGAGCCTTCATCTTAGGCACACCCACTCACTTCACTGAATGTGCGCTCAGCCTGGGACCGTTTCCATCTTTCTCAGAGATCTGTCTCTAATGTCTGCTCCTTTCTGATCCCAGAGCCATGCCCAGATGATGTAAGCATTTTGTTTTTTGTCATCTATGCCCTGTTTACTCGTATCCATGCACATTAAATATTAAGAATTCCATCTGAGTTCTGAGATACAGCCTAGTCTGGGCTGAAGGGAGCCCCAGGTGTGTCCACAGCTGCTCCTGGAGGATGCTCTGGCCTTTGACCTGTGGTGGGGTGGCGGGGGCGGAGGATGGGCTCTGGGCAGGTGGAGGTGTAGCTCTTACTAGCGTTTCCCCTTTCTCTGTCTGTGAAGTCCTGGAATCACAGGATGACGTTGCTACTTCCAGGACCCTGCCCCAGACACAGTCACTGATCGTGGCTTTGTGGACATGTGGGTGGAGGTGATGGGGAGTGACTCACACCTGCATGCACTGCTCTGTGTGGTAACTGGGCACCCACACGGTCTCCGCTGCTGAGCTCTGGCTCTGGGCCGTACCGACCTTGGCTGGGGACCGACTCCTGTACTCTCTGCCTGCAGACCTTCACCACCCAGGAGACCATCACCAACGCGGAGACAGCAAAGGAGTGGTTTCTCCTGTCGGCCAAGGATGTGAGTGCTGGGTGGGCAGTGGGCAGTGTGCGGGCTGGGAAGGACAGGGTGGGCCTGCCCGTCAGCCTGCGTGGCCACGCTTAGCCCTGTAGCCCTATTTCCCCTGAAGTTGGCAGCAGGAGGCATCCTTTCTGGTTAAGATATTTGGCTTTGGGACTTCCCTGATGGTCCAGTGGGTAAGACTCTGTGCTCCCAATGCGTGGGGCCCCGGTTCGATCCCTGGTCGGGGAACTAGATCCCGCATGCATGCCGCAACGAAGATCCTGCATGTTGCAACTAAGACCCCGTGCAGCCAAAATAAATAAATATTTAGAAAAAAAAAAAAAGATATTTGGCTTTGCCAGCCCAGACAAGCCAAATGTGGCAGACGCTGCTCTAACTGCTGAGGGCCGTTTCCTTAAGGCCACTGGCCCTATGGAATCCTCTCTACCCCTGGCCCCTCCAGCTTTACAGCGGAGACACCCTGGGCCTTGTGCGCCTGTGAGGTAGGCCGGGCTGCCTGGCCTCTGACCCCTCTGTCCTCTCCATCTTGACATGGGGCTCCTCCGACAGCCTCCGAACCGAGGACTGGGAGCAGTGGGTCCCCCCCGGGGCCTTGGTTTCTCCAGAGATGGCAGGGTTACTGCCCCTGGGGGGCCCCTGGATGGGTGTGGTGTAACTTGGCTCATCTCTTGCAGCCTTCCGCAGTCTCGAAGCACTTTGTTGCCCTGTCTACCAACACTGTAAGTGCCCACGAGGGTTCCCATACTACCTCCCTGGGAGGGCCCAGGCCAGGTCAGGGTCATGGCCTTTCCGAATACATCAGCTGAGGTGTGTTTCACAGGTTCAGGGGTCTTGGCTCAGCTGGTGGGGTAGAAGGGTTGGTTGCCTGTGAGGGATGTGAGTTGCAAACCATCCTTACCTTTTCTGCAAGGCAGACAAACCTCTGCTGCTCCAGCAGGGGGCTTGCAGTCAGTGGGATCACATTAACCCCACCCATCTCCCGGGCCTGGCTGATGGCCACAACATTCCACACATGTGACCTCCCCTGGCCTCTGCCACTGGCCTCTCCCCAGATGGGATATGGTGGGTACGGGTGGGGGATGCATCCCATTTCTCACATAAGGACATTAAGCCCCAATGAAGGGATGTGACTTGTCACCCAGTGATTGCATGAGTCAGTGATGCCGGTATTAGAACACGGGACTAGAACATGGTTACCCACCTGCCAGTTCCTCCTGGCCCCGGGCTGTGCAAGGTAGGGTCAGGGGCGTGTCAGCGGGCAGGACGGGGCTGTGCTGCAGGGGTCGCGAGGAAGGCAGACCTGGCTGAGCACTTGCTGTGTGGTGGGCTTTGTGCTGGGCAGTCTGAGCCGGAACCACACCCGGGTCCTCCTGACTCCACTCCTTCCGTGTCACCCCCACCCCCACCCATGCCTGCAGTGCTGACTTGCCTGTGGGGGGAGACAGAAGGACATCTTAAGGCTGGCCAACCACAGTGCCACCGTCCACCTTCTGCGGGTGGAGCTCAGACTGGTCAGTGGGGCGTCTCCTGTGGCGTCTAGGCAAGGGTTGCTAACCCTGTCTGCCCAGGGGATAGAATAGGTTCTCTCATTCCCTGAAGGCTTCCTGGGGTGCGGTTACCATCCCAGTATTGGAAGGGCTGGGCAGGTGTCCGGGCTGTATGTTTCCTGGCCTGGGAGGTTGCCCCTGCCCGTGCTCAGTTGTTTCCCAGAGGTCCCAGGGGGTCTGGTCCAGGAGGTGGTCTTGCAGAACAGTGTGTGGGCCAGGTCCTCAGGGTGGCTGTGCAGCCCCTTTCAGCAGGAGGGGTTTGTAAACACTGGGCCACGGGTGTGCTGGACGTGAGCTGGCCTGGCATCTGCCTCTGGGGGTGGGTGGCTCCTGGTCCCGCCTGGACTGGCAGGTGGCTGCAGCGCAGCCCCAGTGGTGGCACGACTCTTCATGCCCTGGAGCCGCTAACATGTTCCCGTGCCGCTAACCCAGGCTTCCTTCCTTCTCTTTCCCTTTGCCCTTTTTAGGCCAAAGTGAAGGAGTTTGGAATTGACCCTCAAAACATGTTCGAGTTCTGGGATGTAAGTAAAGGCACTTCCCCGTGGTGGGTGAATCATGTGTCCTTTGCCAGGTCAAGCCGCAGATGAGGGGCCCATAAGGTCAGGTCGATATTTACTGAGCACCTGCTGCATGCCTGCAGCAGGCAGGAGGCCCTCAGAGAGGCTTGTGGGGCAGGAGCAGCTTCGCTCAGTCAGGATGAGGGCTCCACTCCCACCGAGGGCGGGCTTGCAAAGCCAGGGTGACATTCCCCTGGGTGGGGTAACCGGAGCCACCCCTGTCCCCCTCGCTAAGCTGAGGTTGTGAGTTATTCTCAGTGATGACCTTTCTCTGAACTACAGCCACAACCTGTAAAGACCAAAGGGCAGGGTGAGGCGGGAGGTGTGACTGGGCAGGCCTGGAAAGGAGCTGCAGGGGCAGCTGGAGGGTGGCAGAGAGGAGGTGCCTGGGTGGGGCCCCGCTGGGCAGCTCGCAAAGCCAGCGTTGCTGAGTGGCAGAGCTGCGGGCCACTCTAGTGACAGGCGGTCACGCAGACTCATCTCTGCTGGAGCCACAGCTGGTGCCAAGCAGTGAGCAGGAGCTCTCCTTGCAGCTTGCCTGAGTGCAGCCGTGGTGTGAGAAGGGCTCGGGTCGCAGAATGCAGGGAAGGCTCGGGGGGCAGAGATGCGGTGCACGGTGTGGCGTGGGGGCCTTGAATGCAGTGGGTGTGGCCCTAACACGTGACTTCGGCAGGTGTACCTAAGAGGGCATCGTCCGGTTGGGGATTTTCCCAGTGGGGCTGCTTCCAGGCCTTTATACTGGAAGCTCTCTGCTTGCTGGCAGCATCTGAAGATGTAACTTCCTTTGAAAGCTCTAAAGGCCTGGAGTCTGGGAGAGGATTCCGCCCTCACGCCCTAAGGCATCTTTTGTGTGTAATGAGTTAACCTCTTTCTAGAATGGGACTAGTTATGTACCATCCTTGGAAGAATTGAGAAGAGTCACTCAAATCCTTTTCTGCGTCCTGTGGCTCAGATGAGGAGCCCCGCTTGAGAGAGACTGTGCAGCTTCTAACAAATGTTGCATGCCTGTTAAACGAGGGGAGGTACCACCCTCCTCCTCTGCGGGATCTGGAGCCTGAGCAGGTTGTGGTCAGGGACACATGGGGGCTCCTGCTAGCCAAGGAGCCCAGCGCAGCGGGGCTGTGTCGCAGCCTGGCTCGTCATTGCCTGTAACCACCCAGCCTGCAGAGATGAGTGGGGGTGTGGCTTAGAGACAGACCTGAGTCTCCCAGGTAAGGCCTAGGAATGACAGCTGGGCACAAGAACATGGGGCTGGGGCTGGCTAGTGAGGCCCGAGTGGCCAGGGTGGGCACAGTGGAGGCCTTTGCGGCCAGTCCAGACATACCTGGAAGGACCTGCCTGGGTCGCTAAGGATGTATATTGGTGAATTGAGAAGGTGACATCTGAGGAGCCAGGGACAGGAACAGGTGAAATTTCTGGACCCAGGGTCTCAGGTGAGACAGAGGAGTCACAGTAGATACAGGGATGTTGCTCTGGCTCTGAGGTAAGATCTGAAGAGTCCAGTCTGGCGTAGGTACGTGTAAGCGGTGAGGCCTGGTCAGCTGTGGCCAGCCACGGGGCAGCCTTGTGTGTCGGGATCAGGCAGTCAGCACGCATTACCGGAGAGCTAATTTTGGCTGGTGATGTCTGAAGAGGAGCCAGGACAGGTACAGGTGGTATCTGAAGAGGAGGCACCAGGACAGGTAAAGGTACAGGTGAGGTCTGTGAATTCTGGAAGAATTCAGATATTTATTCTATCAAGTGGAGTCTGAGGAGCCAAAATTAGGTACATGTTCTTTTTTTTTTTTTAATTTATTTTTGGCTGCGTTGGGTCTTCGGTGCTGCACGTGGGCTTTCTCTAGTTGTGGCGAGCGGGAGCTAGTCTTCGTTGCGGTGCGCGGGCTTCTCATTGTGGTGGCTTCTCTTGTTGTGGAGCATGGGCTCTAGGCGCGTGGGCTTCGGTAATTGTGGCACGCGGGCTCAGTAGTTGTGGCGCACGGGCTTAGTTGCTCTGCAGCACGTGGGATCTTCCCGAACCAGGGCTCGAACCCGTGTCCCCTGCATTGGCAGGCAGATTCTTAACCACTGCACCACCAGGGAAGCACGTCGCTAAGGTGCATTGTGAGAGGCTTATGGTAGACAAAGGTCTAGAGACAAATGTCTCTAGAAGTGTCAGCGGCCCAAGTCACTCAGACACTGTTTGGCACCAGTGGGCTCTCGCCAGGCTTCCCTCAGGCTGAGATGAGCAGCCAGGGATCTGTCAGGTCTCTGGGAAGAGTCTGTTCAGGTTAGGTTTGTATAGTGGGGTCTGCCGGCATGGTCTGTAAAGCCACGTCTGCTTGAGGTCTCAGAAGCTGGACAGACAAGGTGTGTATAACTAGGTGTCTCAGGGGAGGCCTGAGGAGCCAAGATCAGGCACATCTGGACAGAAGTGTGTTGGTCAGGTAAGGACACGAAAACCAAAGGTAGGCAGAGACACAGCTGAGTCTGACAGGTGGGACTAGAAATCCACCATCGGGTCCGGGTCAGAACTGTGTCCTCAGGTGTTGTCCAAGCAGTTCTGGTGATGCTCAGGGCGATGGTCCTGGAGATGGTCCTGCGTCCCCTGGGAAAGGACTGAAAAGCTGGAGTCGGGCAAAGAGATGGAGCGCTGCTTCCATCCATCTGGAAGGTTCATGAATTCTGCGTCTGTCTCAGGTACACAGAGCAGGTCTGTCAGGTAAGGTTTGAGGAGTTGAGGTGAGATACAGGTTTGTACTTTTGGTTCTTGAACAGGTGAGGTCTGAGCTGCTGAGGTCAGTCCCTGGTTTGTATTCCAGATTTGAGGAGCTGAGGTTCAGCACTGGTAGATAGAACTGAGTTTTTCAGGTAAAATCTGTAAAGTCAAAGGTAAGCCAGAAGTAGGTTGAAAAGCCATGTTTAGGTTCATTAAACTCTGTCCCACAGTTGAGGTCAGGCACAGGTAGGTAGAACAGATCTGTCAGGTGAGCCCTGAGGAGCCAGGGTTGGGTTCATCTAGAAAGACCTGGATCTCTTAGATGATCTCTGAGAACATGAAGTGAAGACAGGTGGATAGAGGTAGGTGTCTCAGGTGAGATCTTGGGAGCTGGGACTGGGCACAGGTGAGTAGATCTGCATCTCCCAGGTAAGGTCAGGATAGGTAGGTAGAACTGCATCTCTGCCTGTCTTGTAGAGATGTCTTACAAAATTGAAGAGTTGTGGCCAGGCACAGGTATGTGGAATTGAGTTTCTCAGGTAAGGTCTGTGGAGTCTGCATCTGGTACAGGCTTTATCCTTGGGTCTGTCAGGGTGAGTTAAGCGCAGGTGGGTAGAGCACGGTCTGTCAGGTAAAGTCTGTGGAGCAAGTTCAGGAAACTGGGTCTGTCCAGTGAAATCTCAGAAGTCACAGCCAAGTCCAGGTAAGAAGAATCAAATGTCTTAGATGACGTTTGGCGAGCTGAGATGAGGTACATGTAAGCAGAGCTACCCTGCCGGGGCAGTCTCAGGAGCCAGGAACAAGCACAGGTAGGCAGAGGTGGCTCACCATGTGCAGTTTGAGGATCCAGGGTCGTGCACAGGTAGGCAGAGCTGGCCGTCCAGCTGCAGTCTCAGAAGCCAGGCTCAGTCACAGTAGAACTGACTTGCCACATGTGGTCTTAGGTAAGCAGAGCTGGTCCACTAGGTACAGTGTAAGGTGCCAGGTTGGTAGAATTGGTCTTCTGGGTATCGTCTGAGGAGCCAGGGTCAAGCACAGGTGAGCAGAGCTGGTCTGCTAGATATGGTCTGAGGAGCCAGGGTCATGTACAGGTGGGTAGAGCTGGTCCGCTAGGTACAGCACGAGGAGCCAGGGTCATGTACAGGTAGGCAGAATTGGTCCGTTGGGGATGGTCTGAGGATCCAGAGTCAAACACAGGTGGGCAGAGCTCGTCCACTAGGTATGGTCTGAGGACCCAGGGTCAAGTACACGTAGGTAGAGCTGGCCCACTAGGTGCAATCTCAGGACCCAGGGTCATGTACAGGTAGGCAGAGCTCGTCTGCTAGGTATGGTCTGAGGAGCCAGGGTCATGTACAGGTGGGTAGAGCTGGTCCGCTAGGTATGGTCTGAGGATCCAGTGTCAAGCACAGGTAGGCAGAGCTGGTCTGTCAGGTATGGTCTGAGGGTCCAGAGTTGTGTACAGGTAGGCAGAGCTGGTCCACTAGGTCTAGTCTGAGGAGCCAGGGTCATGTACAGGTAGGCAGAACTGGTCTTTCAGGTATGGTCTGAGGGTCCAGAGTTGTGTACAGGTAGGAAGAGCTGGTCTACTAGCTATGGTCCGAGGATCCAGGGTCAAGCACAGGTAGGCAGAGTAGGTCCACTAAGTATGTTTTAAGGATCCAGGGTCATGTACAGGTAGGCAGAGCTGTTTGGCTAGGTATGGTCTGAGGATCCAGGGTCAAGCACAGGTAGGCAGAGCTGGTCCACTAGGTATGACCCGTGGATCCAGGGTCATGTACAGGTAGGCAGAGCTGGTCCACTGGGTATGGACTGAGGACCCAGGGTCAAGCACAGGTAGGCAGAGCTATTCTGCTAGTTAGGTTCTAAGGATCCTGGGTCATGTACAGGTAAGCAGAGCTGGCTGGGTATGTATGGTCTGAGGACACAGGGTCACATACAGGTAGATAGAGCTGGTCTGTTAGGTACAGCATAAGAAGCCAGGGTCATGTACAGGTAGGCAGAGCTGGTCCGCTAGGTATGGTCTGAGGACCCAGAGTCAAGCACAGGGAGGCAGAACTCATCCACTAGTTATGGTCAGAGGAGACAGAGTCATGCACAGGTAAGCAGAGCTGGTCCACCAGGTACAGTCTCAGGACCCAGGGTCAAGTACAGGTAGGCAGAGCTGGTCCATAAGGTATGGTCTGGGATCTGGAGTCAAATACAGGTAGGCAGAGCTGTCTGACTAGGTATGGTCCAGGGATCCAGGTTCAAGCACAGGTAGGCAGAGCTGGTCCACTAGGTGTAGTCCGAGGACCCAGGGTCAAGCACAGGTAGGCAGAGCTGGTCCAGCAGGTATGGTCTGAGGATCCAGGGTCAAGTACAGGTAGGCAGAGCTGGTCCGCTAGGTATGGTCCAAGACTCCAGGGTCATGTCCAGGTAGGCAGAGCTGTCTGACGAGGTATGGTCTGAGGATCCAGGGTCAAGTACAGGTAGGCAGAGTGGGTCCACTAAGTATGGTCTGAGGATCCAGGGTCATGTACAGGTAGGCAGAGCTGGTCTGGAAGGTATGGACTGAGGGCCCAGGGTCATGTACAGGTAGGCAGAGTTGGTCCACTAAGTATGGTCTGAAGATCCAGGGTCGTGTACAGGTAGGCAGAGTTGGTCTGCCAGGTATGGACTGAGGGTCCAGGGTCATGTACGGGTAGGCAGAGCTGTCCACTAGGTGTGGTCGGAGGAACCAGGGTCATGTACAAGTAGGCAGAGCTGGCCCAGCAAATGTGGTCTGAGCAGCCTGGGTCAGAGGCAGGTAGGCAAAGCCTGTCTGCCAGGTATAGTCTTGAGGAGACCTAAGGAGTTACGGTTGAACACAGGTAGGTAGACTTAGCTCTTTCAGGTGCTGGATTCAAGGGCAAGGGCAAAGGTATGTACCCTTGGTCTTTTGGTGATGCCTGAAAGACCAGGGTTAAGCCTGGGTTGGTAGAGCGGCCTCAATTCAGGCCCACAGCACTGGGGTCTTCTGCAGGTAGGCGGGACTCTGCAGGGCTCATAGCAGATACGCAGCCTCTAAGTTAGACATGAGTAGGTGGATGTGGCCCCTCTCACGCAAGGACTTTGGGGCCAGCTGTTTGTATGCTTGGGTCTCGCAGGTGACATGCTTGGAGCATGAGGTACATTGACCCAGGTCCTAGGAGTTAGGTCTGGGGTTAATCCCAAGTAGGTAGAACCACATCTCTCAGTGGGGTCTGCTGAGCACAGATACGCAGAGATGTTTGCATCTGATGAGGTTGGAGGCTCCTTACTGAGGTGTTGGTGCCCAGGCCGAGCAGGGGTTGATAGTGTTGGATCTGTGTGTGAGATGTGGAAAGCCGAGTGAGACACAGACGGTAGACCTGGCTCTCTCACGTTAGGCCTGGGAGCCGAGATCAGGCCCGTGGAGAGAGAGCTGGACCCCTTGGGAAGGTGTGAGGAGTCTGAGTGCTGGGCTCAGGGAGGGGGGCCTGGGTCTGTCAGTTGAGATGTGAGGGGTCAAGGTTAGGCACAGAGAGGTATGTGAAGCCCGGGTCATTAGCTGAGCTGTCTGGAGCCTGCCTCTGACAGGCGTATAACCCTGTGGTCTGAGGTACTGGAGTTGAACACAAGTAGCTAGAGTTGACCTCCCAGGTGAAGCCATTGCATGCATACCCAGGGCTGCTCTGTGGCCCTGGCTTTGTCCGTGAGTCCGTGGATCAGGGTCACATGGACAGAGGTATAAACACGATCTTAGGTGGGTTTTTGTCCCCCGGTTCAGGTACAAATTGGCATCCCCGGGCCTGTTAGATGAAACGAATGGGGCAGGATCTAGCCTAGAAATACGTAATTGGTATGATTGGTAAGGCCTGAGAAGGTGGGTCAGACACAGGTGGGACCCTCAGTGGTAGGCTCAGGCACGGTCAGGTGGGTAGAGTGGACTCTCATCGAGGGAAAGGCAGAGTCATCGTAGGTATGCGTACCTGGGTCTACCTGGGGAGGTGTGCGGAGCCCTTGGGTTCAGGTAGGAGAGGTAGAACGAGCTGAGCCGTGTCAGCCGGCTGTTCTTAGCACCCTGGTCCGGTGTGATGGGCAGAGCTCAGGGTGGTGCAGGGGCTTGAGGATCTGTAACCAGTCCAGGGTGTGGTCTGTCACATTGGGATCTAGCTGGCAGGGTCTGAATTAATCAAGTGGGGAAAGAGATTGGATTATACCTGGTTGGAGAAGGTGAGGTCTGAGGCTCTGGGGCAGGTGAGGCACAGAACAGGGAACTGACTGCAGAGCTACATCTCAAAGGCGTGGTGTGAGACCCACTGCAGGTGAAGGTGAGGTCTAAGGACCTGTGTCCGCAGCTTGAGGTCTCAGAGGCTCAAATCGGACACTAGCTTTGCTGGGCCCTCCCAAAACAAAAGTGAAGTCTGAGAACCTGACCTCAGTCAAGGTCAGCAGCCTGGAATCTGTTGGTCTGAGTGCTGGCTGTCTGCTCAGGCCAGTTTCTGGATTTGAGTCTATTGGGTGAGATCTGAGAGCCAGTGTCAGGCATGGTGTGGTCTGTGGGACTGTGACAGTCAGGTAAGGTTCCGCCAAACCCAGACCCTTTCTAGGTAAAGAGCCCCATCATTTATCTTATTATCCAAGCCAGAAACATCTGGGCCACATTTGATTCTGTCATTCTTCCAATTCATCCTTTTTTTTTTTTTTTTTCCAATTCATCCTTTTTAATTGAACCTCCTGAATCAGTGGTCTGCATCCCTGCCGCCCCCATTCAGGGTAGCATCATTCTGTGGACGACCACTGGGGCTCCTAGATGGTTTCCTGCTTCCATTCGCTCCTCACCCACAGACTTCTTGGTTCTCCAGCCTTGCCTCTCAGCTTCTACCCTCCAGTTCTCACTCCTTCCTTCATCTTCTAGGTTGTGCTACACTTCTTCCTGCCCAGCCTGTCTCGTCAGGCTTTCAGGATAGAATTAAGCCTTAATGCCCCAAGGCATCCATTGGATGTAATGAATTAGCATCTCTCTTTTGCCTTTAGAAGGGTGCTGGCCTTGGACCAACCTTGGTAGTACTGAGAAATTGAGTCACTCAAAGCATTTTCCGTGGGGCTTAATTCTCTCACTGTTGAGAAAGGCTGCTCTTGCTGCAGGACCTTTGCATATGCTGTTCTGGCTGCTGGAATCCTTCTCCTCCCTCTGTGCTTCCCTGGGTAACACTAACTCATTCTTCACATCCAGGCTCAAGCACCCTCAGAGTCCTTTTATTCTTGGTTTCCTTTCTCCCAAGCATTTTATCTCATCTTCACATTTATTGGCATGATTGTTTCATTTATATCTTTCCCCCCCGTGGATTGTTTGTATTGCCTATGCTAGGAACATGGTAGGTGTTCCATAAACAGTTGTTAGGAAGACGTGACTGGAGATCTGAGGATTCTGAAGGTAAAGTGGAGTCTGCAGTGTGGCACGAGAAGGCACAGTGTGAATGGTAGACCTCAGTGTGTCTTGGGCTGAGGCTGAAGGTCAGTCAAGCCTAGGTATGAGCCACTGGGCCTGTCAGTGTCCCAGGAGGCAGGGCTAGGTACAGCTAGGAGGTGCTGGGTCTGTCAGTACAGCCTGAGGAATCGGGAATGGGCACAGGTATGAGGCACTGGATCTCTCATTGTCAGAAGTGGCAAGGCCAGGCCCAGGTATGAGACACTGGGTTTATCAGTATCTGAGGAGCAGGGGCCAAGGCCAGGTAGGAGGTGCTGGGTCTTTCATTGTTCAAGGAAGTATGCGTGCGCACAGGTATGAGGCGCTGGGTCTCTTAGTGTTTCAAGAGGCTGGACACAGGTACGAGTCATTGGGTCTGTCGGTGTCCTTGGAGGCACAACCAGACACAGGTATGGGATTCTGACTTGTCAGTGTCCAAGGAGGTGGGCTAGGCGCTGGGTCTGTTGGTGCCTGGGGAGGCCGGACCTGGCACAGGTATGAGGCGCCGGGTCTGTCGGTGTCTGAGGTGGTGGGGTCAGCCACGGTAAGATCTTTGGTTGAGTCTCGTGGCTCTGGTCAGTCCCTCGTGTAGTCTCTGCCCTGTTGGTCGGCCCAGCAGTTGCCGGCGCCTGGCCTGCTGTCTTGCTTCCCAGAGGTGGGTTGGCCCCAGGGCCGCAGAGCTTCACCTGTAGCAGAGCATGGTTCTCAGGGGGCAAGTTTCGTGGCAGGAGGGAGGGGGGCGGGGTGTGCCAGCCCTTCCTCAGCGCCTTTTCCTGTCTCTCCTAGTGGGTGGGAGGCCGCTACTCGCTGTGGTCAGCCATCGGACTCTCCATTGCCCTGCACGTGGGTGAGTGTGCATGTTTGTGTTTCTGTCTCGGGAGACCGTGTTGCCGTCTGAAGTCGGGCTGGGGGCTCGTGTCCCTGAATACCTTCCCGTTCCCACAGGCCGCGGGCCTCTCTGCCCTTGGCTGGAACATTTCTTTCAGGTCAGGTGGGAAGGGCCGAGTTTCCTTGCGGGTTTGCAGGTTGGCCTTTCTCCCCGCCCCTCACAACTGCGGTCCTGCTCGCTCCTCCACGCCAGGTGGCCCTAGAGCTGCCTCTGTGCTCAGGGCTGACTCTGATTAGAGGGGCTTTCTACAGGCCCAAGTCCTCCCAGATCCTGTTTCTTCTGGCTCCCCCTCCAGCCTTTCCCTGGTTCCAGAAGAAGCTGTGTCCGAGTCCAGGAGGCCTAGGGCATGACCATTTCTGTTGACGCTGCTTTTGTGTTGCAGGATTTGATAACTTCGAGCAGCTGCTCTCAGGGGCTCACTGGATGGTAAGTGCTGAGGCGTGTGTTCTCTGCCAGACGCTGGCCAGAAGCTTGTGGTTGGTCCAGCTCCCTCCCCCTCACCCTCACTCCTTCCCTCCTGGGAAGATGCTCAGCCCCCGCCCACCCCGTTCTCATTTCAGGACCAGCACTTCCGCACGACGCCCCTGGAGAAGAATGCCCCCGTCCTGCTGGCCCTGCTGGGCGTGTGGTACATCAACTGCTTTGGGTGTGAGACGCATGCCATGCTGCCCTACGACCAGTACCTGCACCGCTTTGCTGCCTACTTCCAGCAGGTACCAGCTGCCAGGCCACGCCTTGGGTTGGGGGGCCCATGAGCCTGGGTGCCCAGGTTCCTGCTCCTCCAGCGGCCTTTTCCTCCATTACCCTTGGGCATGTCCAAGGCCCCCCGTGCTCCCCATCTCATGGAGAATCTTTGTAAGCAGGATCTGTGTCCGTTGAGTTTGGCTACCATGGGAGGGGCATGAGTGGCTATCATGGTGCCCTGGCCAGTCAGGCTCTGGCTTGGCTCAGGGCACGTGCCTCAGCCAGGTCACTTCTTTCTTGGACATCACCCGACAGGGTGGGCCACAGCCCGGGACCCCCATGGTTTGCACTGCCTTTGTCCCTCCAGAAAAGCAAGTTTACACCCAGTCTGTGGTGCCTCTTTGGGCTACTCACAGCCCTCTGCCCCTGGAATCTCCACAGCCCCCCTAGAGCAGCCCCTCTCCCAGTGGATCCTGTGACTGGAGGAGGGGCTGAGGCTCCCCAAGGCCCAGAGTCTAGTTGGGGTGATGGCCCTCAAAGGCTATACAGTCCGGATTCCAGCCTGCCTCTCCATTAAGAAATCAGTTGAAGATTTTGTGACCCGTTTCTGCTCTTAGGGAGGTCCTCCCTGGACGTCCGTATACACCTTCTGCTGGTCATGGGTCCTTCAGAGCGGTCGAAGCCAAAAAGCTTGTGAGCTGTGCCCTCCCAGATGAGGGGACATAAAAGAATCACGCCTGCCCGTATCTCACAGAGCCAGGGCAGGGCAGGCGTGCCTGGTGCATCCCAGGCTGGTTTTGGGCATGTGCATGAAGGAGAAAGACTTGCAGATCGATGACTGGGTTTCTGGCCCCATTCCAGGGAGACATGGAGTCCAATGGGAAGTACATCACCAAGTCCGGCACCCGTGTGGACCACCAGACGGGCCCCATTGTGTGGGGGGAGCCAGGGACCAATGGCCAGCACGCCTTCTACCAGCTCATCCACCAAGGTAGGGCCCATCTGGCCTGGGCAGGAGTGCAGCTGGGGACGGGGAGGGCACGCCAGGAAAGACTCCTCCGTGAGGTCAGCGTTCTCCTGTAGGCCACATGGGTGGTTCCCATGGGTGGGGATAGGCGCCTGGGTGACCACAGTGCCCTTCGCAGGTACCAAGATGATACCCTGTGACTTCCTCATCCCTGTTCAGACGCAGCACCCGATAAGGAAGGGTTTGCATCACAAGGTAAAAACCCTCTTCATGCTGTCTTAGGCTCACATGACACCTAGACCTCTTGAGACTGATGCATTAGTCAGCAGGACTAGTTTTCTGTTCCTGCCACCACAAACTTAGTGGCTTAAAGACAACACCCATTTATTATCGTGGTTTCTGTGGGTCCCAAGCCCATCATGGTCTGCTGGGTCTCTGCTCAGGTTCTCACAGGCTGAAGTCAAGGTGTCGGCAGGACCGTGTTCCCTTCCGGAGACTCTGGGGGGAAATCCTTTTCCTCATTCGTTCAGATTGTTGGCAGAATCTATTTCTATATGGTTGTAGGACCAAGACCTGGCTGCTTTGCTGGCAGCTGGGGGTCATTCTCAGCTTCTAGAAACCCCCTTGACTCGGTCTCAGAACCAGCAAGGCTGGGTTGAACCCATCTGAAGCTTCGATTCTCTCCTGCATCTTCTTCTGTTGCATCTTTGTGGCTGACTCACTTGCCGTCCTCTTCTGTGATTTTTAAGGGCTATGTGATTACATTGGGCCCACCTGGATAATTTCCCTATCTTAAGGTCTGTAACCTTAGCTCTGTCTGCAGAATCCCTCTGTGCCATGCGATATAATACACACAGGCGTTAACAGCAGGGGGGCAAAGGTCAGGGAGCCAAGATCTTGCCTACCACAGCAGCAAAGGGGAAAAGCACCCAACTCCTGACCTGACAGAGTCCTTGAAGGGGACCGATCCTGCCTTTTCTTGGGTGTGGAGAGTAGCATGGGTTACTGTGGGCACAAGCTTTGGACGCGGGAGTCCTGGGTTTGAATTCTAATTCTTCCACTCTGTCCTTCTGGGATTCAGTGCTGCTGACTTGAGGAAACTGAGGCTCAACTAGAAAAGAGATGATGCCTCTCCCCCCTCAGGATCTTAAAAAATAGATGTTGGTAAAGTTCTTAACAGGGCCCTCGGCAAGTAGTACATAGTCCTTGAAGGGTAGTTATCATCGTTACCTACTTTCCAGTGTCGACAGATGTGCTCTGGTGTCCCCCCCTTGCTCCATGTAAGCTCCAGAGTCGGGGCAGGCAGCCTGACCCCGACCGCTGAGACTAATCCTGGCTGGGCAGTGCCAGGCAGTCTCGTCCATCTGCCTGAAGCTCAGACAGTGCTTCAAAATGGTACTCGATGTCTCTCTCGTCAGATCCTCCTGGCCAACTTCTTGGCCCAGACTGAGGCCCTGATGCGGGGGAAGTCAACAGAGGAGGCCCGGAAGGAGCTACAGGCCGCAGGGAAGAGTCCAGAGGACTCTGAGAAGCTGTTGCCCCACAAGGTCAGCCCTTCTCCTGAAGTGGGCTTTGGGTGGCATCCTGGAATTGGAAGGATAAAGTTGTGTGGCCAGGACAGGGGCTCGTGGAGTGCCTTGCCTGCCTTGCACAGTAGGAGGGGCTGTCCTCACAGAGCTGCCCATCCCAGCCTCTGGCGCAGCGTGTGCTTCCCTTATGAGGAGTTAGGAATCACGACTAACTGGGGGACATTTCTGGGTGTTTTCTGAAGGTCTTTGAAGGAAATCGCCCAACCAACTCGATTGTGTTCACTAAACTCACGCCGTTCATTCTTGGAGCCTTGATTGGTAAGTGAGTGGGGAAGTCCCAGCTTCGGGTAGGTCGGACTGGGCTGGTAGAGCCCTAACGTGCTCCCTCCACAGCCATGTACGAGCACAAGATCTTCGTTCAGGGCATCATCTGGGACATCAACAGCTTTGACCAGTGGGGGTGAGTTGCTGGCTCAAGGGGAGGGTGGGGAATGCCTGTGAGCTGGCTGGTGGATTTCACTAGCAATGTTGGAAGCTTCCTCATACCATTCTTTCTCCTCGCCCTGGCAGAGTGGAGCTGGGAAAGCAGCTGGCTAAGAAAATTGAACCTGAGCTTGATGGCAGCAGCCCAGTGACTTCTCACGATTCTTCCACCAATGGGCTGATCAACTTCATCAAGCAGGAGCGTGAGGCTAGAAGCCAATAAACTCGTGCCCGGCAGTAGTCCCCGTTGTGACTGGTCCTTCTTGTCCCTCCTGCCCAGAGTCTGCACCGCATGGTCCTGCCCAGAGCACCCTCTGGTTTCGGGCTTGGACCACAAGCCCTTTGGCGGAAGCTGGTCTGGAATTGCCAGCCTCACCCTCTCCATGTCCAGGCCCCCTCTGTCTTACAGTTGGCTGAAGTGTTTCAGTGCAGCTGATTTTTCTGACCTGTGTTCATTGTTCATATACCAGGTAGAAAATAAAGATGCCACAAAGGAGACTGTAGGCTGAGACTCTTCTCTGTCCTGAGATGGGGCTCTCTGCAGGAGTTAGGGTGCCCAGTAGGAGGAGTGTTTGCCTTGTGTGAGGCTTTGCTGTAATTGGTGAGCAGATCCAGAATGGAGGACGGTCCCTTGAGAAGAGAGTGGGTGGAGTAGGGCATAATCCAAGTCACGAGGGCAACGTGGCCTCTGTAATTGAATCTTTTCTACATCTTCTTACACTCCTCACCCCTGTGGCTTTGGAGTGACTGTATACTTCTGTTCACTGGATAGGGTTTTTTTGTGTGTGTGTGGTACGCGGGCCTCTCACCGCTGCGGCCTCTCCCGTTGCGGAGCACAGGCTCTGGACGCGCAGGCTCAGCGGCCATGGCTCACGGGCCCAGCCGCTCGGCGGCATGTGGGATCTTCCCGGACCGGGGCGCGAGCCCGTGTCCCCTGCATCGGCAGGCGGACTCTCAACCACTGCGCCACCAGGGAAGCCCCACTGGATAGTTTTTAAAACCATATTGAGATTTTGTCTGTTTTGGGTGAATTCCTGGCCCAGATCAAGGGTGACCACTAACTCCTGGCCAAATGCTCGGGTAATTCTTTCCTTTTATAAGATAGACAGTTGAAAAAAAGGATTTTTGAAGAAACTGTCCTTTTATCTTCTATTTAAGGTACTTCTATTCAAGATACTAAATAATATTTCTGGCCAATTTAGCAGAAAAGGAATTTTATTTAAAGAGTTGATGGGCAGAATCGATGGGCAGACTAGAGGCTGAGCTTTCCAGACCTACGCCCTAGACCATGACGGAATGATCTGGACTGGGAAACTGCTGCCCCTTTCACAAAGCCCTGCTGCCCTCAACCCTGTCTGTCATCAGGCGGCCTTCACCCCATCTTCTCCTGGGCTGCCTGCATTTGAGTTGTCCTCTAGCTTGGTCACATGCCTTCCTCAAAACAGGGAAAAGTCAGGACTTGTATTTTTGTTGTTGTTGTTGTTGTTGTTTGCGGTACGCGGGCCTCTCACCGCTGTGGCCTCTCCCATTGCAGAGCACAGGCTCTGGACGCGCACGCTCAGCGGCCATGGCTCACGGGCCCAGCCGCTCCGCGGCATGTGGGATCTTCCCGGACCGGGGCACGAACCCGTGTCCCCTGCATCGGCAGGTGGACTCTCAACCACTGTGCCACCAGGGAAGCCCAGGACTTGTATTTTTTATTCCTATAAAGAGAAGACAAACTGCACCCATGAATGCTCAAAGAAAGGAATACCCTGACTGTAGAAAGTGACCATACAGGTACAAACGTCCACTTAAAATAAATAATAGAAATTGTCAGCACTTCTCATCTTCCTATTGGTGAAGTGGAAATTGTTTATTTTTTAATTCCAAAAGTGAATGCCCACTTCTCTCCCACTTTTGTAGAGGTGATAGAAAGATGTTCTTCAACAGTCAAGCTCTGTTGAAGCCCCTGCTGACTCCCCTCCTTTCTTATTTTTTTTGCGGGAGGGGGCGCCTCACGGCATATGGGATCTCAGTTCCCCGGCCAGGAATCAAACCTGTGCCCGCTTCAGTGGAAGCATGGAGTCCTAACCACTGGACCGCCAGGGAATTCCCCCACCTCCTTTCTTAATATAGCTGACGAAAAGTGAGCTATATTCCCATCAGAGGCACTTCCTCTATTACAAAAGAGCAAGCACACAAGTCTGTAGAGAGGAAACTTCTAGGTGGCAGACCCTCTCAGGCTAGCTTGTCTTCACATGAATGATCTTTTAGCAGTGGGCCCACTGAGTTCCTCTTGGCCAGCTGCCAAGTCTCATGTCTTCCCTTAGGCGGGAGCACCTGGCATATATATGTCAGTCGGCCATGTGTCCCTTGGCCCTGACTTGTTCTGCTCATCACTGCCACTGTCATCACTTACAGCTTCCACTTATCCTGTGGCTGCCAGTTGTTGCAAGTCTTGAGCAGTACATTAGAGTTCTGCAGAGGAACAGAACCAATAGGATATATCTATGTATCTCTATACAGATATATGAGGAGATTTATTATGGGAGCTGGCACACATCATTATGGAGGCTGAGAAATCCCACGATATGCTGTCTGCAAGCTGGAGACTGAGGAAAGCCAGGGCCATAATTCAGTTTGAGTCTGAAGGCCTGAAAACTAAGAGGCCACTGGTGGGAGGCCCAGAGTCTACAGGCTTGAGAGCCAGGAGCTCTGATGTCCAAGGGCAGGAGAAGATGGATGTCCCAGCTCAAGAAGAGAAAGAATTCACCCTTTCTCCACCTTTTTGTTCTCTTCAAGCTCTCATCAGATTGGATGATGCCCACCCACATTGTTGAGGGCAGATTTTTACTCAGTTTACTGATTCAAATGCTATTCTCTTCTGAAGCACCCTCACAGATAATCCTAGAAAAAACGTTTTACCAGCTGTCTGGGCATCCCTTAGCCCGGTTAAGTTGACACGTAAAACTAACCATCACAAGCAGCCCTTCAGGTGAGACTGAAGCAGCTTTCAACATCTTCATTCTGTACTTCCTCAAATACAAACTGTATCACAATTTGATGATTTGTGTGAGTTTGTCAGGAGGTCCAAACCCTACGAAATCCTGAATTAAGTCAGACACTTCAAGTCTCACACACGCAAGCACTCCTTACGTTGTTCCAAGGACTCCACGATAATGTCAGTGTCAAATTCGTTGTTAAATTGCTTCTGAAATTCCAAAATGGGGCAGCAGTTAACATCTTGAACATTCCTCTTAAGTAATAAGGCTTCATGCTGCCATCACACTTTGATCAAGAGGCTGTAATAGGTTATATTAGGATGTAAACAGATGACATGTTGGAGAGAGCTCAGTAACTGTTGGAGGAAATCTTGCTGTGTTAGCAAGAATAAGATTTGTTTTTTTTTAATTTTTGGCTGCACCACGGGGCATACAGGATTTTATTAGTTCCCTAACCAGGGATCATACCGGTGCCCCCTACAGTGGAAGCATGGCGTCTTAACCACTGGACCGCCAGGGAAGTCCCCAAGAAGAATTTTGAAGTTTGTTTCTTCTTGCAATAATTTAGAAATGTATCCTGGGAAACATTAGCTAAAATAACAAGTATCTACCAAGTCATCCAGCCTCTTTGGCTAGACCTGAAGTGAACAGCAAGACTGGACTTCACAGCACCTTTAAAGCCATCAGATTGGCAGTGATAAACCAGAAGTAAACTGGTTTCACCTCCAGGTCCTCGCTGGGGCTGGAGCCAAACATCAGGAGGCACCTGTGTCCTCTTTTTTTTTTTTTAACTATTTATTTTGGCTGTGCCAGGTCTTAGTTGCTGCATGCGGGATCTTCATTGTGGCATGTAGGCTTCTTAGTTGCGGCATTCAGACTTCTTAGTTGTGGCATGCGAACTCTTTAGTTGCAGCATGCATGTGGGATCTATTTCCCCCACCAGGGATTGAACCCAGGCCTCCTGCACTGGAAGCACAGAGTCTTACCTACTGGAACACAGGGGAAGTCACTTTCTTTTTCTTTTTTTTTCTCTTTTTTTTTTACATACCATGGTATGAAGCCTGAAATAGTGCTTCTGCAACATGCTCTTTTAAGTCCGGTTTATTGAGGTATAATTTACATATAGTAAAATTCATCTTCCTTTGGTGTACAGTTCTGAGTTTTGACAAATGTATACAGTCATGTAACAAGCACAAGTGAGATATACAGCATTTTCATCACTCCAACAAGTTCCTGGCACCTTTTGTGGTCAACCTCTGCCCCCTAAACCCCTAAACCCAAACCTTGGCAACCATCCATTTGATTACAAAAAGTTCACCTTTTCCAGAATGTGGCCTTTTGTGTCTGGCTTCTTTCACTTAGCACGATGTTTTTGAAATTCACCTATATGTGCCACAGGCATTTAAAAAACTTTATTACTGAAAATTTCGAACATATAAAAGTCAAATAGCATAGAGACCACCCTGTGCCTGACACCAAATTTGAACAATTATCAACCCAGGGCCCATTTAATTTCATCTACAGTCCCGCCCATCATGTAGCAAATCCCAGATATATCATTTCATCTACAGGCATTTCGATGTGTCTTCTCTAAAAATTTAGGGCTTTCTTGCGGGGGAAGGGATAAATTGGGAGACTGGGATTGACATATACACACTGCTATATATAAAATAGATAACTAATAAGAACCTACTGTACAGCACAGGGAACCCTACTCAATAGTGGCCTATGTGGGAAAAGCATCTTAAAAAAAAAAAAGAGTGGATATATGTATATGTATAACTGACTCACTTTGCTGTACACCTGAAACTAACATTGTAAGTCAACTATACTCCAATAAAAATTTTAAAAATAATTTAGAAAATAAATAAATAAAAATTTAGGACTTTGTGTTTTTGTTTTTTGGGGGAGGGGCTTGTTAACGACAGTACTATTATCCAACTTACTTTATTTTATTTATTTATTTTTCACGCACCGAATGGCATGCGGGATCTTAGTTCCCCCATCCGGGATCCAATCCGCGCCCCCTGCAGTGGACGCGCGTAGCCCTAACCATTGGACCGCCAGAGATGTCCCATATCCCACTTATTTTAGATAAAACTTTTTGGTAAGACTAGTTCATGGTAGAGGGTGCCAACTTCCTTTAGCAGCGCGCACTACGAGCCAAAAAGCCTTGCCGCTCCGGGATCTCCCCCGGGTTCCAAACTGTATCCCCGGAAACGGTCTGAAGGGGGCGGGGCCGTCTCTCAGGCGTAGGCAGTGCGCGTGCACAGAGAGGCGCACCCTCTCGGCTGCCGTAGTTCGCCTCTTCGCTTGGGCGCCTCGTCGTCATGGCGGCCGTTCGGAAGCCGGTGCTGCTCGGGCTTCGCGATACTGCGGTGCACTGCTGCCCCACGGGGCTGGGCGCCTGGACCACGAGCAAGCTGGGCGGCATTCCGGTGAGGTGGGGCGTCGGAGCCGGGGTCGGCGGGTGCTGGTGAGGGCTACGGGGTGAGGGAGTGGGCGAGGTCTCGGGTAAGAGTCAGGGTCTGAGTGCCTCCCTTGCCCTCAGGACGCCCTGCCCGCCGTGGCAGCGCCGAGGCCAGTGTGTGAACTTTGCAGGCAGCCGCTTGTCCTGGTCGTGCAGGTGTACTGCCCGCTGGAAGGCTCCCCCTTTCATCGGCTCCTGCACGTGTTCGCTTGCCCCCGCCCGGGGTGCGCTAGCGGCAGGGCGCGCAGGTAGGCGGGAGCGGGGGTGGGGGGCCAGCCCCCGGCGCACCCGGAGGGGACTGGTCAGTCGGCTGGCAGTCGGCTATGGACCCTTCACCGCAGTTTTTCTTTACTATGAAGTTGGAAGGTGTTCCGCTCCCAGTGCCTGCAAACGCGAGAGAAAGAGACGCAGGACGCTCAGGTAAAGCGCTTGTGACTATCATATTATGATCTGCTGTAATTTGAGGGTATTTTCCAGAGTTTCGGTTAAGACAAACTTTAAGCCATGTTCTTTGAAGTACTTTGGAATGGTTTCAGCTTTTTTTTATGTTTAGTTTTTATTACTTTTTCTTATTAGTCATCCATTTTATAGCCATCAATGTATACATGTCAATCCCAATCTCCCAATTCATCACACCACCATTTGCTTTTTTTTTGAACCGTAAAATGGTACTTCCTTAACGTCTTGTTAGTTGTTTTAATTATGCACTGAAGGTATGGAAGCACATAGCTTACTGATTTTTCTGTTTGGGAAAAAGTATGAGTGTGTACATACATATGTGTGTGTTTATAGTAAATATACTTACTGTGATAAGTATATGTGTATGTAACATATTTAATACGACAAAACTCGAATTTATTAAATTAAAAAAATCTGGCAAGTTGGTAGCTGCAGAACAAAATTCAGCTTCCCTTTGCCTGTGAATGCTGCTTTATATATACACTGAATTCTTAATGTGTGCCAAGCACAGTACTAGCAGTACTCGGAATAAAAAGGTGGTGTCTGCCTATATTTGTCAGGGTTCAATTGCAGATAATAGAAAAGCACTTTGACTTTTTAAAGCTGAGACAGACTTAAAATTAGGTTTTTACTAACTTATTTGGATAGCCTGGAGGAGATGACTCCAGGAGTGAGCTCCGGAACCACACCTCAGAACTGGCCTGTCAAGGAGCTGCTAACCTCTCTTGCAGTCAGGAAACTGAGATGTGTTCCGGTGAATGGAAGCTGCCCTGTTCAGAACTGTTGACTCCAGAGCCTTGCTGTCTCCATCTACAGATCAGCTACCTTTTTTTTCATGGCTCTTCTTTCCACTTCACTCTGTCTCAAGTTTGTGTCTCCCTCTAGACACAGACAGACCCCCTGATCACACCTAGGACCCCAGGTGCTTAGGAGTCTGGGAAATGTAGTTCTTTCTTACCATGTGCAATACATGAAGCACAACTGAAAGAGATGTTGAAGAAACCACTGTACTGCATTTGCCATGGTGCCCCTGAAAAGGAAACGCAATATTTGTCACCTCCAACCTGCTTTTGAGTAAATGGGGTCCAGGAAGTTGAATCAGAGTGTGCCAGAGTGGAGGGCGGGGGGTGCTGGTGTTAAGGCTCCCTCAGGAAGGTGAAGGGATGGGTGGCTCAGGAAGCCAAGGGAGTAGGTGAGATCACCCAAGTGTGCTTGAACCACATTCACTGGATATTTTTCCAGAAACAGGAAAATGGCCTCACAGCTGAGGATTGGTGTGAAGGTGCAGATGACTGGGGAAGTGACAGGGAGGAGGCGCCTCCACCACAGGTTATCTCAGATTTTGGAAATGATTCCAGCCGTGCCAAAGACAGAGACTGGACTGCCCAGCTCCAAGACCTCCGCCTGCAGGATACTGTCCCGGGTGCTGCTCTTCCTGTGCCTCCCGGGGAAGGGATGGCCTTGCATTCCGTGCTGCCACAGTTCCTGCCCTACTACATCTGTGTTGTTGATGAGGATGACTACAGAGACTGTGTCAGTCTAGATCATGCTCAGAGCCTTCTGAGGGAGTATCAACAGAGAGAGGGAATTGACATGGAACACTTGCTTTCCCAAAGGTGAGAGTGCGTACTGCTGAGCGTGAGAGGTGATTTGATCAGGAAGCCACCACAGTAGGTACCCTTTGGTTTTACCCTCGTATCTGGGGAAACTTTTTCAGGCAGCACTTGTGTGTGTAGGACCTTTCTGCTTCATGCCTCTCAGATGAGAAAGGGAGACAGACAAGGGGATCTTACCAGCCACCCTTGAGTTAGCTTGAAAACACTTTGTTCTGTTTATAGGGACCCTCAGGAAAGTGAACAAACGAGTTAGGGATACCAAGTATTTACACAAGATGGGTTTACTAGCTCTTTAACTTTTCTGTTTTTAAGTGTATAACAGAGACAGGTAAGTTAGAAAAATGCCATTTGTTTATTGACTCTTGCCTGTGGCTCAAGAACTGGCCTAGGACCTCAGAGACCCTCCCAGAGCCTCAATTCTCCCCTGTAAAATGGGGGTGATACTGATATCTGGGTGGTGTATCGCTTCACATGGTTTTTGGAGTTAAGTGTGAGACTAGGTCTTGAAAGGCTTTATAAACCAAAACCCTCTAAAGTTTGAAGTAAGAATAATCACTTTGCTGTTATAATAGAATTACAGTAGGATATATGGGGAGTTGACCTGGTTCCTTACCAGAGCTGTATCATTTGTAAGCTTTTTCAGAATACTGTTGGGGTGTGTGAAGAAGTGTTGGTGTTTGAAAATAATCCATAATGGAGAAAGAAATGGAGAGAGTGAGTGGACATAATGACTTTTTAAATTGCAAATAATTATCCAGAGTTGAAAATGGCGAGGAAGCAGGGCTTGAGAGAAGGGTAGCGGGGGGGGTTACTGCTGTTCAGTATAATTTTCAGTATATTTCTAAATACTGTAATTCTCTGGATATATACAGGCAAAAGTGTTTTTTGTTTCTCTTTTTAGTCTTTCTAGTGATGGTGATGAAAAATATGAGAAGACCATAATTAAAAGTGGAGATAAGATGTTTTACAAATTCATGAAGAGAATTGCTGCTTGTCAAGAGCAGATTTTGAGGTAAAGGCACATTTTTTTACATTGTTTTTCTTGATTGTAAAAGTAATGTATATAGGGCTTCCCTGGTGGCGCAGTGGTTGAGAGTCCGCCTGCCGATGCAGGGGACATGGGTTCGTGCCCCGGTACGGGATGGTCCCACATGCCGTGGAGCGGCTGGGCCCGTGAGCCATGGCCACTGAGCCTGCGCATCCGGAGCCTGTGCTCCACAACAGGAGAGGCCACAACAGTGAGAGGCCCGCGTACCACAAAAAAAAAAAAAAAAGAAAAGAAAAGAAAATACTTTTAAAACCACCACCAGGCTAGGTCTCTCACTTCAATCACTCTTGTACTTTAATTTCAGTTCTTATTTCATTTTGGGGAAAATTTCCTGTTTCATCATTGAGTATTGTTTTTCATCCATTTGTTGAGTTCTTTATTTTGGACACCAATTATCCTTATAGTAGTTATATTTATCAACCTTCCATAGATATCACCTTCTCTCTAATTGCTTTGTCTTTTTCATTCACTAGATTTTCACAACTCTTTTAACCACGTCAGTACTTCGATTTTCAGCCAAGTCTATTATTTCTAAATTTATTCAATATGTAATGTGTGGCTTGGTTTCTTTAGCAATTCAATTTCCCTTGGCCTCTCATAGTTACTTCATTTTCTCAACTTTGAGCTCTTGGGTTTCACTGAATGTATTTTCTTTCAAAGTTCTTCTATATCTTGAAAACTCTGCTGGGAATTATGTGTTCTCAGTTTATGTTTTCTTCCAGATATGGTTCCTGGCTCATTTTTGTTTGTACTATTCATTTCTTTAATTTTACTGATTACAGGAGTGGAATGCCACTTTGCATCTAGCTCATGCCTGAAGGGGGCAACTCTGTTTAGACCACCAGTTTTCTCCAAAACGGTGTGTGGGCTTTCTTACTGATTTTCTGTCTATCTCATATCAGAGGTCTGCTCTTTTCCCCTTCTCCAAGCATATTTTTCATTTCTTCTACTTTTCTGTAGTGAAGTGGGGTGGGGATATGGTTCTGTAAGACTAGATGCTATCTACTAGAACACCTGGGTTTCACTTTGACTTCTCAGATAGTGTAAAATGTCTTACATGTTGGGAGATCCCATTTTAATGGGGAAGAAATTGCCCTTGACCTCTTTATCATTACTGTAACTAGTCAACAACTTTTGCTTCTGAGAGGCAATTCCTAATTCCCTGCATCATCACCCCACCACACCCAGTTCTCTGGCCAACAGCTCTACAGCAGAAGATACAGATTCTTTTCCTATTTGCTTCTTTCCAGATTCAAGATCATTACTGCAATTCTCAGGATTTTGTGGGCTAATCAGTATATTTTGAAGAGGTGAAAGAAGAAGGCTGTATGGTTAGAACTCACACTAAACCATTCCAGAAATTTCTCTACCTTCCTCTGTGAAAAGTAAATTAATTACAAAAATAAATATTTAAATACATGTGAGGTACCCAGACCTGTATTAGACATTTAGTGATATTATGTCCTGAGCTGCCACTCTTGAGTTTTATGGTATTAAGTTCCTTTCCTTATTTCAATGCTGATGGAAGGGATTTTCTTTTTAATACTTGTTTTTTTCTATTTTATTTGTGGCTGACTTTTACCTTTTATATTCATCATATCAGGTATTAGGGGAGAAAGACCATTTGATTTTAGTCTGTCCACTTTATCTGGACCCATTTTTCCAAGTTTTCCCTATGTCATTATTTTTATATACTATAACCTGCTGGGTATGTCATTTCCTCTGAGGCCTCTCTGACATCCTACTTATAATAGCTATGTTTTATTTTCCTCATTTATCACTTGTGGAAATCATACAACATGTCTATTTATTTTTAACCTCCCTCACTAGAAAGCTAAAGCTATAAAAACACGGACTTTGTGTCATTTCCTGCTGCACCTGCAGCATCTAAAATAGACCCAATAAATATTTGCTGGATGAATGAATACGTTCACTGCATCCTTCTAAACATGCTGTAAAGTAGGTATTAGGCCCATTTTACAGAAGAGAAAATAAAGGTAAAGTCATCTGCCCAAGGCCAAGTCTTCTAAGACCTAAACCAAGGTTCTTTTCAACCATACCACATTTGAAAAGGTGTTGGCTCCACCAAATACCTACTATACATGGGCACTATGTTTTGCATGAGAGTTATATACTGTCCTTACCACCAAAGAATTTACAGAAATTAGGTGATTCAGTAGACCCTTGTCCTAAGATGATGAAGAATAGATAAATATGCCAGTGCTATTAAGAGATCGTAGGGCTTCCCTGGTGGCGCAGTGGTTGAGAGTCCGCCTGCCGATGCAGGGGACACGGGTTCGTGCCCCAGTCCGGGAAGATCCCACATGCCACAGAGCGGCTGGGCCCGTGAGCCATGGCCGCTGAGCCTGCGTGTCCGGAGCCTGTGCTCTGCAACGGGAGAGACCACACAGTGAGAGAGGCCCGTGTACGGCAAAAAAAAAAAAAAAAGATCCTAGGGAATTCCCTGGCGGTCCAGTGGTTAGGACTCTGCACTTTCACTGCCGAGGGCCCGGGTTCGATCCCTGGTTGGGGAATTAAGATCCCACAAGCCACGCAGCATGGCCAATTAAAAAAAAACAAAACGAAAAGATCCTAACAGATCTCGGCTTCCCCAAAACATAGCATAGTGGATTTCAAACAACAGCCAGTATTTACGTATATTTTACGGAGTATTTGCCTCATCACCTCATTTGATTCTCACAGGAATCCTATGAAATAGGTAGTTGTATCATCATCCTCACGTTAGAGATGAGGCACTGAGGATAAGAAAGGTTAAGTGACTTGCCCACGGACCCACAGGTAGAAATGGAAGACCTGGGCGATGAACTTCCAAGACGTATGATTCAATATCCTATGAGCACTTGTTACTTACTACAAAGTATTATGTCTTCAATATATGAAACTTACAAAGTAGAACGCACAGGGGAAATAAAATCAAAACTATTATAACTAACAAAGATTTAATTACAAAGATGGAAGTCAAACTGATAAGGACACACTCTGTAGTTCAAGAAAAATCAAGACCCCACACCCCAGATAACAGCCTCCTAAACCCCCATCTCAAGAATAGCATCAACACTCACCCAGTTTCACAAGCCAGAAGCTCAAAACCACTTCTGTTGCCTTTTTTTACTCTCATATCCAAGGGTCACCAAGAACTGCCATAAAAATATCCCACAGGAACTTCCCTGGTGGTCCAGCGGGGAAGACTCCGCACTCCCAATGCAGGGGGCCCGGGTTCCATCCCTACTCAGGGAACTAAGATCCCACATGCATGCTGCAACTAAGAGCCTGCATTGCCACAACTAAGAAGCCTGCAAGCTGCAACTAAGAGTCCACATGCTGCAACTAAGAAGCCTGCGTGCTACAGCTAAGCCCACGTGCTGCAACTTAACATGCTGCAACAAAGATACCGCGGGCCGCAACTAAGACCCAGTGCAGCCTAAATAAATAAATAAATATTTTTTTTAAAGAAAGAAAAGAGAAAAATTATAAATATTCTATGACCCCAATTATTGTTTTTAAAAAATACACAAAACCGGGCTTCCCTGGTGGCGCAGTGGTTGAGAGTCCGCCTGCCGATGCAGGGGACACGGGTTCCTGCCCCGATCTGGGAGGATCCCACATGCCACGGAGCAGCTGGGCCTGTGAGCCATGGCTGCCGAGCCTGCGTGTCCGGAGCCTGTGCTCCGCAACGGGAGAGGCCACAAAAGAGAGAGGCCCCCGTACAAAAAAAAAAAAAAAAAATGCAAAACCTACTTACATGTGTGCATCCAAATGCATAAAAAATAAGTGAACTTAATAAAAATCTTAGCTTCATGGTTTGAGGAATACTGTAGATTTTGGTTTTCTTGTTATACTTTCCTGTGTTTCCCAAACTAATATACATTATTTTTATTTATTTATTTTTGTGGTACGCGGGCCTCTCACTGTTGTGGCCTCTCCCGTTGCGGAGCACAGGCTCCGGACGCGCAGGCTCAGCGGCCATGGCTCACGCGCCCAGCCGCTCCGCGGCACGTGGGATCTTCCCTGACCGGGGCACAAACCCGTGTCCTCTGCATCGGCAGGCGGACTCTCAACCACTGCGCCACCAGGGAAGCCCTAAAAGTATTTTCGATTAAGGTCTTACTGTATAGCGCAGGGAACTATATTCTGTATCCTGTGATAAACCATAATGGAAAATAATATGAAAAAGAACATATGTATGTATAACTGAGTCACTATGCTGTACAGTAGCAGTTAAACACAACTTTGTAAATCAACTATACTTCGGTAAAATTAAAACACATAAAGTCTGTCTGATAATTCCATCATTTTGGCTGTGGGTCTCCTGGTATTCTTTCTTTATGGGTCAATTTTTTCTGCTGCTTTGAATATCTAGTAACTTAAAAAAATTGTTTACTGGAAATTGTATGTTGAAGAACAGTAGATACCGAAGTTAATATTTATTCCTTAGGGGTGTATGCCCCTTCTTCTGTAAGGCCAGTACTGTGGGGGGCTGAGTCTTTTGAATCTGCAGTTGAGCTGAGTCTGGGCTTTGTTGCAGTTTTAGTTAGATTCAGTTCAACATTAGCTTTAGTGCCTTCATCTAGACTTGGTAACCATTGATAAGAATTCAGATATCTTCCTCTGATATACAACCTTGCAGCTAGTTTTCTGGGCCTTTGGATTTTCTTTGTTCTCTGGTTTTGCTCCGGATACTCTCCAAGAAAGAAACAAAATTTGCAAAGCGTGGTCTTAGATGTTGGAATGTGACTTGTACGTGGCCCTGATTCACGGTTCTTTATTTCGTTGCTCTAGGTATTCTTGGAGTGGAGAACCACTTTTCTTGACCTGCCCTACATCAGAAGTCACTGAGCTCCCAGCCTGCAGTCACTGTGGAATCCGAAGGATATTTGAGTTTCAGCTTATGCCAGCGCTGGTCAGCATGCTCAGAAGTGCTAATTTAGGTAATAAGCCATTCATTTATTTGAGTTTGTGGGTTTCTAGCACTAATTTGGAATTATTTTTAAAATGAAAGACTATTGTTTCATTTTTGTTTCCTTATAAAATATAAGCATATTACATAAAATTTGGGAAATTAGAATTATTATTATTTTTTAAATATTTATTTTATTTATTAATTTTATTTTTTTTGGCTGCATTGCGTCTTAGTTGCGGCACGCGGGATCTTCGTTGAGGCGTGCGGGCTTCTCTCTAGTTTGGCATGCAGATTTTCTCTCTCTAGTTGTGGAACACGGGGTCCAGAGCATGTGGGCTCTGTAGTTTGCGGCACGTGGGCTCTCTTGTTGAGGTGCGCGAGCTCAGTAGTTGTGGCGTGCAGGCTTAGTTGCCCCACAGCGAAATTAGAACTATTTTAAGAAAACTTGTGTTGCTTCCATTTGGGGCTATTGTAAAGTTACTATCAACATTTGTGTACAAGTCTTTATATGGACATAGGCTTTTCGGTAAGTATCTAGGAGAAAAATGGTTGAATTATATGGTAAGTGTGTGTTTAACTTTTTAAGACGTTGCCAAACTGTTTTCCAAAGAGGTTGTGCCACTCATATCCCAACCAGCAATACATGAGAGTTGCACATCCTTGGCAACACTTGATATGGTCCGTCTTTTTCATTTTAGCCAGTCTCACAGGTGTGTAGTGATGTCACATGGTTTTAATTTGCATTTCTCTAACAACTAATGATTTTGAGCATCTTTTCATGTGTTTATTTACCACTATATGTTTTCTTTGGTGAAGTATCTGTTCTAATCATTTTCTCTTTTTAAAAATTGGATAGTTTGTCTTCTTATTACTGAATTTTGAGAGTTTTGTATCTATTCTGGATACAAGTCCTTTAGTATATAATTTATAAATATTTTCTCCAAGTCTGTGGCTTGCCTTTTTTTATTTGTTTTTTTGGTATGGACTTTATTCTTCAGAAGCTTTCAATTTACAGAAAAATTAAGAAATAGTACATAGAGTTCCCATATACCTCACACCCAGTTTGCCCTTTATTAACATTTTACATTAATATGGTACTTTTGTTACAATTAATGAACCAGTATTAATACATTGTGAACTAAAATCCATAGTTTATTTAGATTTCCTTAATTTTTACCTGGTATCCAAGAGCCTGTCCTGGATACCACAGTGCATTTAGTTGTTGTGTCTCTTGCCTGTGATGGATTTTCAGACTTCCTCATTTTTGAAGACCTTGACGATTTTGGGGAGTACTGGTCACTTACTTTGTAAGATGCCCCCTATATTGGAATTTGTCTGATTTTTTTCTTATAATCAGAATGAGATTATGGGTTATTGAGAGGAAAATCACAGGGGTAAAATGCCATTTTCTTCATGTCACACATGATATCAAGGGTGCATCTTTATACATTGACTGTTGATGTTAGCCTTGATCGCCTGGTGTTTCAGGTTTCTCCACTTGAAAACAATTCCTTTTTCTCCCCCTAGTCAGAATAAAATGACTTGTCTTTTTATTCTCTAAACAGTGTCCTTTCAAAAAACAGTTTTTAATTTTGAAGGACAATTGATTAATTTTTTCTTGTATGGATCATGTTTTTAATGTCTTGTCTAAGAAATAATTGCCTAGCCCAAGGGCACTAGTTTTTTCCTAGTTTTATGTTTTACATTTAGATTTATGTCCATTTTGAGTTAACTTTTATATATAGTGTGAGGTATGGATCAAGTTCATTCTTTTCCATGTGAATATCCAGTTGTTTCAGCATTTATTGATAAGGATATTCTTTCTCTGCTGAATTATCTTTTACCTTTGTTGAAAATTGGTTGTCCGTATATGTATTAATTTATTTGCGTACTCTCTGTTCTGCATTCTGTTCCATTAATCTGTTTTTCTGTTTTGACACCGCTGCCACACTGTCTCAACTACTGTAGCTTTGTAGGATTTGTAATCTGGTAGTGTCAATCTTGCAGCTTTATTCTTCCTTTTCAAAGATATTTTGACTCTTCCAAGTCCTTTGCATTTCTGTGTTTTTAAGAATCAGCTTGTCAGTTTCTTTAAAAAGTAAAAGGCATTCTGGGGTTTTGATTGGGATTGCATTGATTCTCTGGATCAGTGTGGGGAGAATTGATATCTTAATGTTGAGTCTTCCAACTCATGTACATAGTATGTCTTTCCATTTATTTACGTTCTCTATAATTTCTTGCAGCAGGGTCTTATACTTTTCAATGTATAGTCTTACACATCTTTTTTCAGTTTTGTCTCTAAATATTAACTGCTTTTTTATGTTATTGTAAATGGCATTTAAAAAATTTCAATTTCGATGTTTGCTGCTAGTATATTTAAATATAATTGATTTTTTAAAAGATATGTTGTAAAATATACATACTTAAAATTTACCATTTTGTGGTCATGAAGAATCTAGGGGCAAGATGGCAGTAAAGATGCAAACCTACTGGAGAATGGACTTGAGGACATGGGGAGGGGGAAGGCTAAGCTGGGACAAAGTGAGAGAGTGGCATGGACATACACTACCAAATGTAAAATCGATAGCTAGTGGGAAGCAGCGGCATAGCACAGGGAGATCAGCTCCGTGCTTTGTGACCACCTAGAGGGGTGGGATAGGAAGGGTGGGAGGGAGGGAGACGCAAGAGGGAAGAGATATGGGGATATATGTATATGTATACCTGATTCACTTTGTTATAAAGCAGAAACTAACACACCATTGTAAAGCAATTATACTCCAATAAAGATGTTAAAAAAATTTACCATTTTAGCCATTTCTTTAAGTGTATAGTTTAGTGGCATTAAGTATATTCACAATGTCATGTAACCATCACCACTATCTATTTCCAAAACTTCTTTGTTATCCCAAACAGAAAATCTGTACCCATTAAGAATTAACTACTCGCCCACTCCCAGAAAGGAATTAACCCCCCCATTTTCTCTTCCCCTAGTTGCTGGTAACCTCTATTCTCTCTTTCTGTCTCTGTGAATTTACCTGTTCCAGATACCTCATATAAGTGGAATCATACAACATTTGTCCTTTTGTGTCTGGCGTATTTCCCTTAGCATAATGTTTTCAGGGTTTGTCCATGTTGTAGCATGTATCAAAATTACCTTCCTTTTTATAGTTCATTGTATGTATATACAAATTTTAAAAATTCTTTAACTTGATGAGGTTTCCATCCTTTAGCTATTATGAGTAATGCTGCTGTGAACAGTGGTATACAAATATCTGTTTGACTCCCTGTTTTTAGTTCTTTTGGGTATATCCTAGGAATGGCATTGCTGGGTCATTTTTAGAGCTGTAAACACATACATTGAAAACAAAGAAAAATCTCAAATCAATGACCTAACTGTTTACCTTTTAAGGAACTTGAAAAAGAAGACCAACCAACCAAAGCTCACAGAAGAAAGGAAGGAATAAAGGCTAGAGCAGAGATCTTAAAGGATAATATAAAAACAACAGAGACAAGTGTTCTAAACCAAATTTTTTGGTGTGGATTCTTTAGGCTTTTCTACATATAAGATCAGATCATCTCTATTTACTAATACATATTTTATATATATACACACACAGATGTTAGTTTTTGCCAAATGTAATGGTTTTACATGGGATGGTGGCTGATTACATTTGATCTTTATGACCATGGAGTATTCTTATGTGTATCTAAAGTACTTTTAGAATAGACATGAAAATATTCCACCTACTCATCGAATTCACAAAACATGTTTATTCATTGTACAATATTTTAAAAGGTTAGCGTGGTTTAATTTTAGAAGCAGAAATTCTGTCTCTTAAGATGATGAGTTGACCAGGGCACACGTTTGGCATAATCATATACAGTTGAGGAATAATGGCTTCTATCTCTTTGCGCAGCTGCCATAGTCACTCATGTATAGTATCTGCAATGAGGGCATTTTTATGTCAGCATTATCTTTTTCCGGTTTACCAGTAATTCCCTGAGGTACATCATATCCATTTCCTCTTTTATTTCAGCAATCAGTAAACCTTTCTTCTGTGGTTATGGAAGTGTTCTTAACATGACCATACCTTGTCATGTGACGTATTTGTTGACCATGGCCTACTTCTCTTTTACAATCAGCAACAAGGAAAGTTGTTTGCTTTTTGTATTCCCTACTGCATTTCAGATCTAACCTGATTTCTTAGGACCTTTATATATTTCTTTTGAATCGCTTGAAGCACATAAGAAGAGATCACTTTTTATCTTTACCTACATCATTAGGTGTATGGACATTATAATAACATGTAATTTTTTTTTACTACACTGAAAATCATTTCAGGCTTTGATCTTGGAGTAGTTTTTCTAAGAGGTGACTTGTTCCTGGGACAAAATATAGCAACAACTAAAATCACTTGCACGATTGTCTACTATTTTTGTTTCTTTAAATTTGTCAGTTTTGGGGGCTTCCCTGGTGGTCCAGTGGTTAAGACTCCGGTGCTTAAGGGCACGGGTTTGATCCCTCATTGGGGAAGTTCTGCAAGCTGTGGAGTGCAGCCAAAAAAAAAAAAAAATTTTGTCACTTTCTGGTAACTATCCTAGGAACCGGTGAGTTCTAGGTATTTTTTAAACAATTCTGATTAGAAAACATCAAGATGAAACACTGAATCTTTGTGGTCAGAAATTCTGTTATCATTATTCTAATATGAATATTTGAGTTGAAGATAATTTGATTTTGATCTGTTAGTGTGGAAATGTAAGTATGGAGACAAAGACAAAATAAAAACAAGCATTCTTGGGATTTCCCTGGTGGCGCAGTGGTTAAGAATCCACCTGCCAATGCAGGGGACACGGGTTCGAGCCCTGGTCCGGGAAGATCCCACATGCTGTGGAGTAACTAAGCCTGTGTGCCACAACTACTGAGCCTGCACTCTAGAGCCCACGTGCCACAACTACTGAAGCCTGCGTGCCCAGAGCCCATGCTCCACAACAAGAAAAGCCACCTCAATGAGAAGCCCATGCACTGCA